GGAGGGGTTAACCCAGACTGGTTAACCTTCCTCTGCAGTGAAAGCTGACTGAACTCTCCATGTTTTATTGATCTCTTCGTTTTCTTTCTCACCTGCTCTGATTAAAGGAAGTAAACAGCCCGTCTCCGTGGCGACGGCCCCGCCCCTCCAGGCTGAGCCGGGATTGGACGGTGACCACGATGACGTCACCACAGAGCATCACTTCTGAGGCCGTTCTGACCCCTGAGGGGGAAAGCTTTTTAAAAAGCTTTTTATTAAAGGTCTGCTGTCTGTAAACCATCTGAGCTTCGCCTTTTTCTCCAGAGAAACTGAACCCTGAATCAGAGCTCGGTTAAACCCGCTGGCCATGCACACACAGAGACACGCAATCAGGGATTTGAACCGGGAATCCTCTGCTGTGAAGCAACAGTGCTGACCACCACTGTGCTGACTGGTATTTTATAGAATTTAAAAAATCCACAACATACCACTTTTTAAAACCAAAAATAAGATATGTAAACAAATAGATAAAGAAAATACCCGCCAAAAAGCAGCTGAACAGACAAGGATTTGAAACAGTTTTTTGCTTTTGTTACTAAAAATGGTGGAGACCTGTCTTTTGTGACCTGTTCACGACGTTTCTCGGAAGTTGTGGGGAAGAGCGATTAGGCCCGGAAGTGGGCCATATCTTAGGCCTGTTTTTCGGATTTCCATTCATTTCCCGCGGGATGGCGTTTCGCCCACTTTTTGGCAGTTTATTAAAAAACGCCCGGACTAATGACAGAGAAAAATACTAGCAAGCATCCTGTGGTTGGGTCGGGTGCTCGTGTCAGCTCTGGGACCCATCCGTGGAACCATGCGGGACTAGTAAGGCGCTGAAATTCAGGCCAAAACGAGAGATCTATGAGTCGCGGAATAAGTATTTGCAATAGTGAAAGAGGGGCCTGCTGCTTGCAGGTCCCCGCTAACAAGCTGAGGAAAGTGGAGCTCAGAAAAACAGAGGAGGAACACAAAGATCTGGTCTGTGAACCCCTATGGTGTTCTTTTTGTATCTATCATTCAAAACCTGTTGTTATCGGAACATTATGTACTCTCAATCAGAACATTATGAACTTTTATTGTGTGGGCATGAATAACAAATGTGCTTGTGTAAGCAGATTTGAATACCCAGGTGCGGCATCTACAGAAAAACAGCATCTGAGAGCAGAAGTGTGAGAAGGCCAAGATCCTCGGTTCTCACCCATCGGAGCGCCTGACTGTACCATGATAAAGAACTTTGATATGATGTTGGATATAATGTAACATTAAGCTACAACTGCGTGCAGCCTGTGTGATCTCCTCCCTTAGAGGCTGCAGGCCCATGTAACTTAGGGAATGGTCCTTAATAAAGAGAGAGGAGGCAGTGGAGTCTGGTCAGAGTATGGTGGAGACTGTACAGTCTGGTCAGAGTATGGTGGAGATTGTAGAGTCTGGTCAGAGTATGGTGGAGACTGTAGAGTCTGATCAGAGTATGGTGGAGACTATAGAGTCTGTTCAGAGTATGGTGGAGATTGTATAGTCTGGTCAGAGTATGGTGGAGATTGTAGAGTCTGGTCAGAGTATGGTGGAGATTGTAGAGTCTGGTCAGAGTATGGTGGAGATGGTAGAGTCTGGTCAGAGTATGGTGGAGATGGTAGAGTCTGTTCAGAGTATGGTGGAGATGGTAGAGTCTGGTCAGAGGATGGTGGAGATGGTAGAGTCTGGTCAGAGTATGGTGGAGACTGTAGAGTCCGGTCAGAGT